CACTCCTTGGCCTTCGAGGCAATTACCATCCTTCCTAAGAATTTTTAACTGCAGGCAATTCAGTGTTCGGGTTAATAATGTGCTCTCCCCGGACTTTATCCAAGCTGAAGGTGTCCCCCAGGGATGTGTTCTGAGCCAACACTTTTTCTCTTGCTATTAATGATTTGGCCTCTAGTCTTCCATCAAACATTTGGTCATCACTCTATGTTGATGACTTCGCTATTGCCAGTGCAGGCGCTGACTGTCACCTTATTACAGTTTCTCTCCAGCATGCAGTTGACCGTGTTTCCAATTGGGCCACCACACGTGGGTTTAAATTTTCCAGCACTAAAACCCACCAAATTACTTTCACTAGACGCTCTGTCATCTCCGACCATCCTTTGTACCTCTATGGCTCCCGTATCCCTGAACGTGATACAGTCAAGTTTCTGGGCCTCCTCTTTGATCGTAGGTTATCCTGGAAACCTCACATTACCTCTCTGAAGGCAACTTGTCACAGCCGGCTGAACCTTCTTAAAACCCTTGCTCATCTTTCATGGGGAGCTGATCGTCGAACCCTCCTTCGCCTACATTCCACCCTTATTTTATCGAAACTTGATTATGGTGACCAGATCTATTCAGCGGCATCTCCTGCTACTCTCTCTAGCCTTAACCCCATTCATCACCAAGGATTACGTTTATGCCTTGGTGCTTTTCGCTCTTCCCCTGTCGAGAGCCTCTATGCAGAAGCGAACATTCCATCCTTATCCGATCGCCGTGATGCCCATTGCCTTCGCTGCTATGTACACTCTCATGATCTCCGCAATTCTTCCATTTATAGAATGGTCACTGATATTAGTAGACATTCTTTATTTGTTCGCCGCCCCTGTTTACTCCGTCCCTTCTCTCTTCGCCTTCATTCGCTCTTGTCTTCTTTTCCCAATTACCACCTTTCTATGTACATGTTGCATCTCACTTTTCCCTACCCCCCTGGGAAGTTCCAGCTGTTCGAGTCTGTTCTTTCCCTCTCCCTTGCTCGAAAGCCCAACTGTCTACGGTTGCTTCCCGCTCTCTTTTTCTTGATCACTTTCACTCTCATTCTCATGCCACTGCTGTGTACACAGATGGCTCTAAGTCTTCTGACGGCGTAGGATTCGCAGCAGTGTTTCCGGACAGCGTCGTACAAGGGCATTTACTATCTTCGGCTAGTATTTTTACTGCTGAATTGTATGCCATCCTTACAGCACTTATCCGTATTGCATCTATGCCTGTGTCATCATTTGTGGTTGTCTCAGACTCCCTTAGTGCTTTACAGGCTATACAGAAATTTGATACACCTCACCCCTTAGTCCTCCGTATCCAACTTTGGCTATGCCGCATCTTTACCAAGCATAAAGATATTGTTTTTTGTTGGGTCCCTGGTCATGTTGACGTACAGGGCAATGAACAGGCAGACACTGCTGCGCGGTCAGCAGTACATGACCCTACCAGTTTCATGTAGAGGTATTCATTTACGGACTATTTTGCTGCAATATCTTCCCACCTTCACACCCGTTGGCAACAACGTTGGTCTACTATGCTTGGCAACAAACTTCAATCTATTAAACCGAGTATATGTTACTGGCCGTCTTCTTACCACCAGTGTCGAGGTTGGGAGACTACTCTCTCCTGTCTTCGCATTGGCCATACTCGTCTTACTCATGGATATCTCATGGAGAGGCGCCCTGTTCCTCTCTGTGAGAATTGCCAAGTTCCATTATCAGTCAGCCACATTCTGTTGGACTGCCCACTTTATCAACGAGCATGCAGAATTTACCTCAGTCGTCGTCTTCGCTCCGCTGCTCTCTCTTTACCTTCCCTTCTCGCTGATGGACCCACCTTTCATCCAGACTCTCTCATTGACTTTTTGACAACTGACTTACTTTACAAATTCTGATACCTTCAGCCCTTTTTACTTCAATCTCTTGCTACCCTCTACCCCCGTACTATCCCCTGCCCCGCTGTTTTCTGTAACCTACTGATCATTCCCTCCTCCCTTCTGCATCCAATGCCCTTCTTCCTTCCCTACCCTGCAGCGCTGTATAGCCCTTGTGGCTTAGCGCTTCTTTTTGATTATAATAATAATAATACCAACACATAAACCAACAAACTACTGTCATTTCGCCCTACATCATATCTTGTATACTTATTTATCCTCTTTTTCTTAAAATATGTATTACTATAACTAAACCCTTTCTATACAAAGTTCAATCAAAGGGCTCCATTATCACTTACACCTGGCACCCCAAACTTACCTACCACACCCTCTCTAAAAGTTTCTCCTACTTTAGCATTCAGGTCCCCTACCACAATTACTCTCTCACTTGGTTTAAAGGCTCCTATACATTCACTTAAACATCTCCCAAAATCTCTCTCTCTCCTCTACATTCCTCTCTTCTCCAGGTGCATACACGCTTATTATGACCCACTTTTCGCATCCAACCTTTACTTTAATCCACATAATTCTTGAATTTACACATTCATATTCTCTTTTCTCCTTCCATAACTGATCCTTCAACATTACTGCTACCCCTTCCTTTGCTCTAACTCTCTCAGATACTCCAGATTTAATCCCATTTTTTTCCCCCACTGAAACTCCCCTACCCCTTCAGCTTTGTTTCACTTTGGGCCAAGACATCCAACTTCTTTCATTCATAACATCAGCAATCATCTGTTTCTTGTCATCCGCACTACATCCACGCACATTCAAGCATCCCAGTTTTATAGAGTTTTTCTTCTTCTCTTTTTTAGTAAATGTCTACAGGAGAAGGGGTTACTAGCCCATTGCTCCCGGCATTTTAGTCGCCTCATACGACACGCATGGCTTACGGAGGAAAGATTCTTTTCCACTTCCCCATGGACAATAGAAGAAATAAAGAAGAACAAGAGCTATTTAGAAAAAGGAGAAAAACCTAGATGTATGTATATATATACGCATGTGCGTGTCTGTGAAGTGTGACCAAAGTGTAAGTAGGAGTAGCAAGATATCCCTGTTATCTAGCGTGTTTATGAGACAGAAAAAGAAACCAGCAATAGAAATAGGCATTAAAAACACAATAAAAAGGTAAGATACACACAGAGTACACTTATTACTTACCTTAAAATATTAATATTAATGTGAGAGAGGTGAGTGGCAGGGTGTTTATTGAATAAAATCAAAATGGCACACCATCATCCTCTAACTTGGCACCTAAAGCAAGAGGCTTACGACTTCTCTTTTTATTACAGCTAACCTTAGACGCCATCGTCAATGAGAGCCAACTAGTTAACGAAAGAGTAAACGAGAGAGAGAACGAGATACAGAGTTGAGACAATGTAAGAACACAAACTGAACAGGTAGTGGACGATCACTTGGTCAGGCGAAATGCGTATTAATATGTGTCTACTTTTAGTTCATTCACGTCCATTTGTAAGAGTTTGCAAAACATTTACCTCAATATTTTTTTATTTTAATAATAATTACCTCACAATACAAATACTCTTACATTGTGTACAAGTTGTACAAGTTAGTTCAGAATAAACAAACAGCAACACACCATTTTTAGATTATTATTATTATTATTATTATTAAAGATTCGCCGGTATTCTCCCGGCCCGGGCCTTTTCCAAGTGGTGGCCCGGGCCTTGGCTCCCTCTTTAGGGAGTGTTTGAGACCTAAGTCTCCCATGGGAGGAGGCACAAGTACCTCCTCATCTTTGGGACTAACTGTCCCCAGGCCTAGCCACAAGCTAGGACTCTTTGGTCTGCCATCCATGCCCCAAGGGGGTTAATGGGAATGACAGTCTTGTGAGCTGTAAGCTCGGGCTCAGGCACCTACCCTACCCTAGAAAGGTTAGGCATGGTGTCGATCCCATTTTTAGAGTGAATGAAGATAATAATATTAATAATAATAATAATAATATTATTGTTAATATTAATAATAATAATAATATAATATATTATTATTATTATTAATAATAATGGGAATGACAGTCTTGTGAGCTGTAAGCTCGGGCTCAGGCACCTACCCTACCCTAGAAGGGTTAGGCATGGTGTCGATCCCATTTTTAGAGTGAATGAAGATAATAATAATAATAATAATAATATTATTATTATTGTTATTAATAATAATAATATTATTGTTATTAATAATAATAATATTATTGTTATTAATAATAATAATATTATTGTTATTAATAATAATATTATTATTAATAATAATTATTATTATTATTATTTATTATAAAAAAGCACTAAATCCACAAGGGTCGTGAATTGCTATACATAGAGTAAAGGCATACGAAAAGAATACTTTTCTACACCCCCCAGTGTTTGACTAGAGAAAACATAATTCTTCCGACACTACCTACACAGCTGCTTTGTAAACAAATCTCATATTTACATCAATTTTTATTCTGAGTGTATGTATCATGTTTATATGCTATGTAATGGGTTTCATATATAATTTTGAGGAAAATATCATAGATGGATTAATGAAAATGCCTATATTGATGTAAAATAAGACATTCAATGTGCCCAAGAGTGATTATTATTACGTAGTATTGGCGTCATGAGTAGAGAGAGACTTAGCGATTTTAATGTGTACCTGCACACCAGCACAGTGTGTAAGTATATTTAAGTACAGGTACACATAAGTATAATTATCAGAGTACATATAAAATATGGAGTAACTTTAAAACATTTGAAATTTTGGAAAGTTTCCTGACATAATAGATGTGGTCACAGAAAATGTAAACAAACCGGGTGGGGGGGCGCCGTATTTAAAAGACCGCTTGCCGTATAGCAAATTTTGGTCATAATTTGACATTGCCATATTAGCGGAACGCCGTAAAGCGGGGCCTTACTGTATATACTGCAAACTCTATAAACAACTGTATCATCCATGGAAAATCATTTAGAAAAATTAATATTTTTAATTTCAATATAAATTCCAAAATTGCTTAATCAGATATATAAGGGTCTTTGAGATGGAATAAACTTACCGCCTCTACACAAACTGCTTTACATTGTGCACCATTGAAGTCATCTGTAGACCTTGCTAATTCTTCAAAGTTGACACACGATGAGATGTTCATTTTACGAGAATGAATCTGCATAATACGGGCACGAGCCTCTTCGTTAGGATGTGGAAACTCTATTTTCCTATCCAAACGACCAGAACGTAGAAGAGCTGGGTCAAGGATATCAACACGGTTGGTGGCTGCAATAACCTATGAGAGACATGCTATTAAATTAAAAATGAATTGAGTGTTGATCTTAATAACTGTATATGCACTAATAAGAGGGTTAGTTCTCAACCCTCGTAATGGGTGGGACTTGATCCCAAGACAAGCCTGTCCTAAAACTGGCAGACCAGTGAGCTATCCACTGTACTATGCCTACCTAAACAATATTTAGGCTTGAATCCCAAAAGTTTTGTGAGCTGTCATGATGTTTAGGTTTGCTTAGATGTTCATGAAGATATAGGCCAGATTCTTCAGTGCGTGGTTAGTTTGCAAATGAAGTGAAAGCAAAGTACTTTAGAAAGTGAGTTATATGCTTCAGTAGATTATTCTACGAAAGTTGAAAGAATGTTAAGATGTGGAATGAAAGTAGTTTTTCAATGGACACTGAAATGGATATGCATCATAGTGATGCTGACCCTTGTATGGGTACAAAGTACAGCAGTGATAAGGCGGCTCGAAACTAGATGCCTCATCTGAGATCAAAATAGCATATGATTACATGTCGGTCTGGACTTTCATGACTCTCTGACCACAGGTTCAAGCCCCGCCTGTGGTATGGTTTGTATAAAGGTAGTATATGAAAGGGTTATTGAGATGACTCGGTTATGTAATAAAATGGAATAGGAATATTTAATAAAATGGTTTTATATCTCTGGAGTTAATGTTAAGTGTTGAAAAGTATATGCAAGGCAGAGATGGAGAGAGAAAGTGTAAAAGATGTGATGAAGTAGAGCCTGCAGGCATACTGGAGCATGCTAGACTGGATTGAGTGAAGTGATCAACTTTAACTAAGGTACTGGAGTTTGAGAAATAATATCTTGGTGTTGTTTGTGCTCTTTTGGAGAGACAACTAGACAAACATATTAATTAATGGCAAGACAATTTTTAAAGAAAATTTTTGGAGGAACATTATATCAAAAAAAAAATGATACAATCACACCTTAATATCTGTGGTAGATGAGAAGCCATCCAACTGATTGAGCAGTTCTAACATAGTACGCTGTACCTCACGATCTCCAGCCTTCTCACTGTCAAAACGTTTTGTACCTGGGGAGATAAGAAGCTCAAAATACATGTACCAGAAACATTTAATATAATATGTAGATGAGTTTATCTATCTTAGGTCACCATAAACTCATTAGTTATACTAAGTAAAGCTATACTGTTTAGCACAGGCTATTCAATATTAATGGAAACATGAAACCAGCATGAAAAACTAAAATCTGGTAAGTACATGAGTAACCCTAAGTGCCTATGAAATAAGATGCTTACCATGTGGTAAAATATTATTTGCAACACATTTTTTAGCAGCTACTTTAATAATAATATAAATGTGCATAAATTACAAATTTATAATAAAAAAATTAACTGTTTGTAAATTAAATCCTCAATCATACAGTACAGTATATGATTTATGATGAAACTTGCAATTCAAATACAGTATTTTGCATGACCATTTACACTTAATACCTTATGTACATAATTCTAAAGCTGAAAGCACTCTTTAGAATCCTGTACATTTCTATATATGCATTGTATGGCTTATTTAGGTTTGGAGTTTATTTTTTCATATAATACGTAATAGCTAATAATAATGATATAAAATTTTGTTGCTTTTTTATTTTATTTATTATCACACTGGCCGATTCCCACCAAGGCAGGGTGGCCCGAAAGAGAAAAACTTTCACCATCATTCACTCCATCACTGTCTTGCCAGAAGGGTGCTTTACACTACAGTTTTTAAACTGCAACATTAACACCCCTCCTTCAGAGTGCAGGCAGAGTCCAGGACTCAAGTCCGTTGTTGCTTTTATGAATAATATTTAAACGAACTTGTTGCTTTTATGAATAATATTTAAATTTTCTTATCAGTATTTATCATCTAAACCTACTAAACATTCCATATGAAATTAACTAAATTAATTAAGCAGTGATGTCTTTATTTCCAGCATAATAGATTTTTCTAGATTAATGACCAGCCATAATAAATTTCTAGCACTAAAAAACTGATCTTACCAATTGCATCAAGTTCGTCAATGAAGATGATGGCTGGAGCTTTTTCCTTTGCAAGGGCAAAGGCATCCCGAACGAGCTTTGCACCATCACCAATAAACATCTGAACTAACTGTGGTCCAGCCAGCTTAAGGAAAGTTGACTTGGTCTGTGCTGCACATGCTCGAGCCAGAAGGGTCTTTCCAGTGCCAGGAGGTCCATATAACAGAACTCCTTTAGGGGGCTGGATACCTATACAGCAGAGAGAATTAGCATATGATAGTTTGTAATTTCTATGACCTTCAAAAATGGATTTTTTTTTTTCAAAACTACAGCACACTCAATATTGATTAAATGGAGGTAATAAACACTTTTGATACCTAAAAGAAATACAAATTTTGGGAATAAATGTAAACTTTTTTTTTGCACAATTTTGCTTAGAGGGATGTTGCCATGGCCACTATTATAGGAAATGATTTATAAATATATCACATCAGATGACTATTGTGAAAATATTTTCATCTAATGCTTGCGAGTCTTGAAAACATTATTTTTTTTTTTTCAACAAGTTGGCTGTCTCCCACCGAGGCAGGGTGACCCAAAAAGAAAATACTTTCATCATTCAACACTTTCACCTCACTCACACATAATCACTGTCTTTGCAGAGGTACCCAGATACAACAGTTTAGAAGCATATAAAACATACCCCTCCAAAACTGCCAATATCCCAAACCCTTCCTTTAAAGTGCAGGCATTGTATTTCCCATTTCCAGTACTCAAGTCCAGCTATATAAAAATAACCAGTTTCCCTGAATCCCTTCACTAAATAGTATTATCCTGCTCACACTCCAGCTCGTCAGGTCCCAAACACCATTTGTCTCAATTCAGTCCTAATATGCTCATGCATGCTTGCTGGAAGTCCAAGCCCCTTGCCCACAAAACCTCCTTTACCCCCTCCCTCCATCCTTTTTGAGGAAGACCCCTACCTCACCTTCCTTTCCCTACAGATTTATATGCTCTCCAAGTCATTCTACTTTGATCCAGTCTCTCTAAATGACCAAACCACCTCAACAACCCCTCTTCAGCCCTCTGACTAATACTTTTAGTAACTCCACACCTCCTCCTAATTTCCACACTCCGAATTCTCTGCATATTTACACCACACATTGCCCTTAGACAGGACATCTTCACTGCCTCCAGCCGCCTCCTCGCTGCATCATTTGCAACCCAAGCTTCACACCCATATAACATTAATAAAGTAATAAACTTGATTGATTGATTGAATGACTGTCATATTTTAAACTGTAGTGTGTTATTTTACCTAGATTTTCAAAGCGTTCCTTATGGGTGACAGGTAGGACAACAGCTTCAATCAGTTCTTGGATCTGTTTATCTAATCCACCAATATCACTGTATTGTTCTGTTGGACGTTCATCTACTTCCATAGCCTTGACACGAGAGTCATACTCGGCTGGCAAAGTTTCAAGGATAAGATAAGAATCTTTGTTGACACCCACTAAGTCTCCAGGCTTCAGTGTCTCAGCATCTACAAGGCCAATAACAGGGAGGAAATATGTTTGGCGTGTAGAGGTCTTAATAACTGCACATTTGCCCTTGCGCTGAGAGTCCAAGTCTACATTAGCACCATCTTCTTCACCATACTCATTGGGATCAACATCCAAAATCTGAGGAAATTTTTCTGTGAACTAGTTTTTCAATCCTGAACATACAACATTAATTTACAATAAAATGTTGCATTAATTTGTAAAATATACATGTTCTGGGGTCAACAGCAACACTTAAATTAGAGATGAACACTGAAAGATGGATTAGAGATGATTTATACCAATATTATACACCTATTTTCATGAAGATTGTCCTCTTTGTATAATCAAAATGAACTAGAAAATTACATATGTATTAACATACACGAGAAGGACCTGTAATCTGAAAATATTTTTCTATATACAGGCAGCAGTATTTTAATTGTAAAAACCATATTAAACTGGGCTGCACTCAAATATCTTAAATGCATTGGGATTATCAAACTACTTCAATTATTATATTAACTTCACAAATAGCCAGCATATAGGAGAATGAAACCTATGATGACATTTCTGTCTGACTTGAACTCTAACTAGTCACCCATCTGTGTGTGACTAGTTAATGGTCCAAGTTGGACCAAAATATTGCCATGACTTTCAGCCAACTATGTGCCGGTTATTTGTGTATTGTTCCAGTCATGATATTGTACCTTTTTATTCTTTATACTAACCTCTATGACGTTAGACACCAGGTACGGCAGCGTCTTGTTGACCTTGATCTTTTCCGAGTTTTCTCTAATTTTGTCTCGCTGGTTTTGGATCTCGTGTGTTATTCTTGTTTGTTCAAGGCGCATAATACGAATTTCATTTTCCAAAAGACGTGTCCTGGAAATGATGTCATCAGATGACATTGCTCCCACCTCACGCATTGCAGGCTGAAATTAAAATAAATTTGCATATTCTGGATCACTCATACAAAAATAATTTATTTCTTTTCTGCAGTACACAGATAATGTTGCATCTAATAAATTTTTGACTGGCAAGTGATTGATTTATTTATTTATTCCAAGTGTCCTGTGACTTGTATCTACATTATTCATACTCTTTTACTCCATTAAAGACACTCCATTAAAGACACAGCATCAACAACACAGCCACTTGATACTGGAGTTCCGCAGGGAAGTGTCCTTGGTCCCCTGCTCTTCCTCATATACGTCAATGATCTTCCAAACGTATCTCAACACCTGAACCCCATTCTCTTTGCTGACGACACAACTTATGTCATCTCTCACCCTAATCTTGCCACCCTCAACACCATTGTTAATGAGGAGCTGATCAAAATATCGACTTGGATGACAGCCAATAAACTTACGCTTAACATGACAAAACCTACTACATT